CGGTTTCGTATGAACGCTCGCGTCACGAATCTGTGGGAGTTCTTTGTGACCCTGCAGTATCCGATTACCATGGGAGATGGTGACATTAACGACGCTATGGAGCGGCTGGAAATGCTACAGGTGGATTACTCACAACGTGCGGCGCTCGCTTTTTGGGTCCTACTGCACAGCTTGAGCGCCACGATTCAGCTACAGCTGGACATGTTCCAGGAATCCTATAGCCCGGCATATGAAGCATGGGAGTACTTAATGGACACTTACCAGGCCAAAGATTCGGTGGCGAAGGTCTCTCTCATGAAGCAGTTGGACAACCTGAAAATGGGGAACGCGGAAAGGGTGGAGGAGTACGTGAACCGCGCAACGGCAATCCGGGACAAGTTAGCACTCGCACGGAAGATGGTGGATGAGGACACATTCACCTTAAATCTGCTCACCGGACTACCGACGCATTGGGAGGAGATGAGGCACTCGGCAATGCTACACAACGTGACGGACAGCTTCGCCTTGCAGCGGATGATGATTCAAGAGCAGAGGTATCACGACCTCATCACGAAGGATAACCGTGACCGGCGTCCACCTCGCATGGTTGGACAAGCACGTGGAGACCGCTCACCTTCTCCAACTGCTAAGGGCAGCACCGAGTATAAGGAAGAGTTCGCTGGGGAGAAAATGCAAGGCAAGGAAGGAAGTGCGGTTCGCTCACCTCTTGTGTGTTGGTACTGCAAGGAGGTCGGCCACCCCTTCTTCAAGTGTACCAAGGCACCCCCTGGCTGGACACCACCAGGGTGGGAACCGCATACCCGCGGAAAGGCAAAACCGCACACTAGCGATAGCCGTTTGTTCTTCCCACGAAGGAGTGGTAGCCCCAAGCGTGACAGCGATGTGTCAAAACAGCAAGGGGCAGCCGGGGAAGACAAGCAACGTACTGTTACATGCATTGCAACGGTGGGATCGTCACAAGCTACCTTACCACCAGCTAAAGCGTCATCGTGGTTGCTGGACAGTCGATGCAGCCAACACATGACCTCGGACAAGCGTTGGTTTGAAGAGTTAAAAGAGCTGGACGAATCTGTATACGTGGAGCTTGCTGATGGGAGCCGACTGCACAGCACGATGACGGGAACGATCAGAGCAACGGCACCTGATGGGACAACAGTTCGGTACACTGACGTCCTCTACATACCTGGCTTGAAGAGTAACCTGCTCTCCTATTGTCAGCTGCTGAAAAAGGGAGCGCACATCAATACCATTGCCAATGGAGACACGGAGGTCACCATGACTGATGGAGAGGAGTATGTGCGGATTGGACTTGCCAAGAACGTGGATGGAGTGCTCGTGGTGCAGTATGCGCATGCACTTACATCCGCCCATGATCCTGGACATTCCCATGATGGTGCGTCATCAAAGAAGCATGATTGTGAAGGGGGTACACGTTTCCGCACACCTGGAGTACACTTGGGTACCCACGGAAGCGCGCTTTCCCGCACACCTGGAGTGCAGTTGAGTGCCCGCTCTGCACACGCATCCCTTCAGTACCGCATGGCACACAAAGCCTGCATCGTGCGGAACCCGGCACATGATGTTGCTATGGATGAAGTCTCACCCCACAGTGTGATGTAGACTTCAGGGGGAGAAGGAAAAAGGTCCGCGGTGGATTCGGGAGGAGATGGAGCAGGCCTTGTAGAACATGACTCACCTGGAGCTGATGAAGCTGATGCAACCCAAGCAAGTGGAGATGCTACAGCAAATGACTTACCTACAGCAGGAGTGACTGTATCAGAGGAGGTTGAAGACAATGATGCTGAAATCAATTTGGGATGTGCAGCAACGGGCGTACCATCTGCTGATGATCGCCAAGTCAAGGATTGTGGAGTTGTACTCACATGTGCGGCCTCTTCGAGCGGTGCTGCACAACATGGCATCACCTAACGCCATACTCACTCATGTGCTTGTAGCTGTGTATGCGGAGGACTACAAGCACATGGGTGGGGGGAGGTGGAGGTGTGGAGTGTATATGGTGGCATTGGAGTGAGACACGGAGTCACGAAGCATAAGGGGACGACCTACTCACCAAGGGTTGCCAGTAGGCAGGGGGAGCAGGCAGAATGGATGTAGCCGGTCGTCATCCGTCGTGCTGGAGCGGATCGTACGACTGGTTACTGCTGATGAACGGCACTACCGTGAGGGAAGAACGGAGAATATACATGGGAGAAGGTATTTTTGCATACCTGGTGTGGACACTTCTGCATACCTGGAGTGCACAACACTGCATACTTGGAGTGGACATTTCTGCATACATGGAGTGCAGAGTTCAGGATACTTGGAGTGCGTCGGCATGCGCAACTCTTTAGCTGATGGAGTTCGGCAACTCCGGCTGCTACCGTGTGTTGGCTGGAGTGTGTGGAGAGCATCATAGGGCAACATGGGTGAAGTTTGAGCAAACTTGGCAAGATTGCCAAAGCATGGGGAGAAAGGCTTACGAAGATGCAGCAGGCGCGGACAGGCAAATGATGAAGTAGGCACGCAGCAGATCGTCAGCCGCTGACGAACGCAAGGTCGTCGCTTCTATCGCGCGAAGTGTGCGCCCGCTAATGCAGTTCCGCGTCAACTGTACGCCATGCGTTATCCGCTACCGATTCGCGTCATCCGTAGCTGCAGTCGTCGCAGATGCGCATCCACTGCGGTTTCGCGTCGTCGCACAGGAGGCGCGCGAAAAAGACAGCAGCACTGACAATCGCGTGTCGTAAAGTGTACAGTTTTGGAAATTCGGAGTGCGCTAAGGGCATTCCGCCATGACGATACTCGGACTTCACCATGGTTTTGAGGAGATTTCGCCATGGAGCTGCTACGATTTCCTCAGCAGCAGCCACTACTCTCTAAATCTCGATCTAGAATGTCGAGATTGGAAGGAGGGAATGGAAAACGTGAAGGCATGTGGTTTGGTTGGAGTTTGGAAGGCCCAAAGGTTGGGAGGGGAAAAGTGCTACAGTGACAAGCAGCTTGGCCAACACCAAACCCTAGCTTGGTTTGGACGCACCCCTACCTTTTGGTGGTACACCACCTCGACCACCCTATCCTCCAAGGAAAACGGATTCACTAAAACCTACAGCAAGGGGGGGTGTTGGAAATCCGAATACAGTATAACGAATACTGTATACCAGTGTGCTGTTTGGTTTTAGTGTAGTCCTCTTTATAAGCTTCCAGGCAGGCCCGTAGATTCGTTTTGAGGTAGTCTGACGCCTCAGAGTACACCCCTCTTCCTAGGCTGGCTGTCAGAGTTACCTTTTTTTTTTAGTCTGAAAATTCAGACAAGCACAACTTTTTTTGTCTGAACTGTCAGAGTTACTTCAAATTTTAAGATGTTCATGCAGTTTCATAACAGCATAGTTACAATAGCACTGAAGCTGATTACAGCATACCAACGCAATTGTGCGGCCAGAAATGGGGCACTCTGATTGGTCATTTTTCAAGAGTTAGGAACACTGAGCAGTCAGGGTCGAGGTGTGGGCATCAGACAATGGCCTCGTGCAAGTGCCAAGTGTGGCAAGCTCACAATCAGCTGACCTGGCAGCAGGCACGGTATCGCTCGGCACTTTTCTGTGTTGGGCGCGCTGTCAGCAGCAAGAGTTTTCAACTGTGTACACCGTATGTGCGCGGAATATTCTCTCCTAAAGTTGCAGCTTCGAAATTTTGACTCGGTTTGGCAAGGGTAAATGATGTGCGGTTCTGCTGAAGTACGAGACTCATATGTGACAAGGCTTTCGTTTGCACCAATTCGCTTTTCGCCATGTGCGATTCGCTAAAATCGTTTTGGCCATGTGCGATTGGCTATCTAGTTCACAATTTAAGGGTTTTTATAAGCCCCCAATAAATTCCACTCTCGTGATAGCGTCGACAAAGTAGTGTATTTTGGTACCCCTACTCGAGCAGTTTCATCCGGAGGAAATCGTTAGTGCTGGCCCGTACACATGTGGGTGTATCGAAAAGAAGTTTCGAGGAAGTTTCGTTCCGATAACCTTCCATTCAGGCTGGCGGAAACCCCTGTATAACTGGTTTCAGAGTGGATCCCCGATACAAGTCTGAGGCTCAGCGTGCACTACTATGACTACTCTGAAATTTCAGACTAGTCAGTTAAAAAAACTCTGAAAAATCAGACAGGGTGCATAAAAAAATTCTTTGAGTTCAGACTAGGTACAAAAAAAAAGTCTGAATGGACTCTGAATCAGACTCCAAAGTCTGATATCTAGGGCCCTGATATTGGAGCCTAGCATTATTGGAGGGTAGAGGGTACAATTATTGGTACACCATTATTGGTGTGAATGGGTCATTCTGGAGGGGTAGCTGGATGCATATATACCCTGCTCTGTCACTTCTTCAACATCATTGAGTCATCATTGAGTTATCATTGTGTCATCCTTCTACTTTTCAATGATCAATGCAAGATTTCTATCTTGTTCTTTTCTACAAACACGTTTCCGCTACGCTGGCACTATGCCTTTCTAGCAAAACATTCTAGTTGGAAAAAAAAAAATAGTCCACAGGATTAGTTGAAATGTAGCACTGATATGCCAGGATAGTGTCACAAGTAGCACTGACGGTTCAGCATACTTAACCTATTGCAGTCCTGACAATTCAGGACAAAACTAGGCTTCCTACTCAACTGCCCTGAGGCCTCAGGGTACCCTCGAACGAATCTGAGGCCCTGCTGGTCTTCCAAAATGTTGCAATGTGGTGGTTCAGGACTGCATGAGTGTCGGTCTGCCCCAAGCTGAACACTTGCCGGGAGATTCAGGCAAACAATATGGTATGGTAGTGGTAACTTGGACCATTCTAATCTAACGTGTAGTACAGGAACTTCACTAATTCATATGCTTTTTGGCGGTCTTTGCTTCACATATACAGGGTAACTAGACCACAACGCAACACCACAAATGCACTTCTAAGACCAGCGTGGCTGCGTGGTGAATTAGGCAGACAGGAGTAGATCCGATGAAAGGCCATCAACTTCCCGCAAGCCCTTCCCTTGCCTTGCGCTCCCTTCTCTCCTCGGCCTGCTGCTTGCGCCTGGCCCTGAAGAACTCCCTCATCACCTCCGCACACTCTTCCCCGAGCACGCCCCCTGTCACGCGCACGTGCGGATGGAATGGGTGCACCGGCCCTCCCTTTCCCACACCCGGGTGATCCAACGCCCTCTGCCCCTCACCCATCAACGCCGCACTCCCCCTTGCCTTGTCCAGCCCTTCTACCTCCACACGCCCAGAGCCCAGGCTCTTTTCATCTCCTCTTTCATCGGCCTGGCTGTCATCGCCCCTGTCCGCACCGTTGCTTCTCACACACTCCCCACCTTGTGCCATATCACCTCCTCCTCCCTTCTCATCACTCTTTCCCACCACCTCATTCCTCACCACCCCTTGGCTTCTATCCCCACCAGCTTCCACGCCCCCTTCCTTCACAGCCCCTTCCCCGGACCCGTCCTCGCTCTCCACCGCTCCACGCACCCCACTCTCCTCCTCGCTCCCCTCCGCCTCGCCGTCTGTCCTCCTCCCCCTTCTGCGCCTGCGCCGGCCAGGTGTGCCCTGTGCGGGAGCAGATCCGGGTGGCAGGCGGTGAGAGGGAGAGCCATGTGCTGAAGGGCGTGGCGGGAACAAGCTGTGAGAGGACAGCATGGGGCAGCACGGGGCAGCAGTGGAGGTGGGGAGGGGGGGAAAGGTAATGAAGAGTTGGAAGGATGAGCGGTGTGCGAAAATTGCAAGAGGAGCAGCCCATGAGGTGGTAATGAGAGTTGAGGCAGGTTGAGAGGAGGGCGACGAGAGGTTAAGAGGAGGGCGAAGGGAGGGTTGAGAGGAGGGCGAAGGGAGGGTTGAGAGGAGGGCGAAGGGAGGGTTGGGAGGAGGGCGAAGGGAGGGTTGGGAGGCAGGCAAAGGGAGTGTTGGGAGGCGGGCGAAGGGAGTGTTAAGAGGAGAGCGACGAGAGGGTTGAGAACAGGGCGAGGTTGATTGCAGGCTCCTTACTTCGACTGCCATGAACCTCGCCCCAGGTAATGCATCCGTGGCACACCACAGCAACCGCTCCACTCCAGCGTGCCTGCCCTCTACCTTTCTTCTCACACCCGTAGATTGATACAGCCTATCTCGCTCCCCCTACCCCTTCCCTCTCCCACTCGGCACAGCTGCACCGCATCTCACCGCACCTCACCGCTCACCTGATCCAGCTGCCATCAGCCCCCAGCAGCGGGTTGGGAGCGCCCCACACGAGGCGCCCCACCCTCGCCTGCAGAATAGCCCCCGCACACATGGGGCACGGCTCTAGGCTCACGTATAGTGTGCAGTGCTGGGGGGGAATGGTAGGGGGAATAGGGGGGATAGAGGGGAACGGAAGGTGTGAGTGGGGAAGGGTAGAAGGGATGGCCCCCACACACATGGGGCACGGCTCTAGGGTCACGGATAGTGTGCAGCGCTGGGGGGGTGGGGTGGGGGAGGGCATGCAAGACGGGTGGTGGCGGGGAGGAGGGTCGGGAGAAACGAGCATGAGAATGTGCAGGATGACCCTAGGGGCTATAGGGTCACGTGCAGCGTGCCGTGCTGAGATGGAATGGTAGGGGGGATAGGGGGGAATAGGGTGCGTGATTGTGAATGGGGATAAATGTCCGCGCACATGGGGCACGGCTCATATGTCACGTACAGCATGCAGTGCTGGGAGGGAGGGGGGGTGGGTGTGCATGGGTGGTGTCTAGGAGGAGGAGGCGTTGGAAGGAGAGGGTGGGGAAGGATGCCCCCCCGCACACATGGGGCACGGCACGGCTCTAAGGGTAGGATTAGGGATCGGTGAGCCTGAAGACACGTGTAGGAAAGTCAGCTGGCTTTTAGGCGGCAGTGGGACTTGCCTGCAGTTGGCGCCAGTGGGACTTGCCTGCAGTTGGCGCCAGTGGGACTTGCCTGCAGTTGGCGCCAGTGGGACTTGCCTGCAGTTGGCGCCAGTGGGCGAGGTGGGTGCATGCCGCTCGGATGCACAGCATCTCCGCATGGGCCGTGGGGTCCCCACTGGCCTCGCTGCTGTGCAGTGCAGTGATGGGAGTGGGGGCGGTGGAGCGGAGCGGGAAGGGGAAGTTGAGAAGGAATGCATGATGTGGTGTGGGAACACAAGGCTGGAAAGGAAGATGGGATTGACATGGGAAAAGAATCATAGGAAAAACAGGGAGAGGGGGGTGGACTGGGGGGATGGTTGAGTGCAATACCATGTTGATTGTTGCAAAATGCATTGCTTTGTATACACGATAATCTGGGATCCCAAAGAGAGCAGAAGCTGGTAATTTCCAAGCTTCACAATGAGGTTCACATGACAAGGCGTGACGAGCAGTGGCACGGAGCCATGGGAGAGTAGAGGAGCAGGGCTCACAGGTTGTGTGCGCGGGCAACAAGGGCGCCACCGTCCATCACCATGACCGCTCCCACTGGCACCTCCCCCTCCGCTGCTGCCTTCTGTGCCTCTTCCACTGCCTCCCTCATCCACTCTCTGTCCCTCACCGCTGCCTCCTCCTCCTCCTCTTCTTGCTCTTCCCTCTCCCCCTTCATGTCCCCAGCGTTCCCAGAATGAATCCGCGCATCACCGCTATCATGCCTTGCAGCGCCGTCATGGATTGCACTCTGCCCGCCCGTCAACCGCCCTGCTGCGCGCTGCTCTACTCCCCCACACACTCCACCACCCCGCGCGACCCCACTCCTCTCCGCCCCCCCATCCCCCCTCCATCCAATTTCCCAACCCCAGACAGCACAGCACACACAGGAGCACGCAGGCAACATAAGCACAGTGGAGATGCGGAATTCATGGCTCTGTGTTGAGTCGACCTAGCATGTGGATGTGATCTGAAACTCTCAGTTGGTTTTAAAACTCACTCCTCGTCATCCCCCTTGTCTAATGCCATGCAATTGCAATCCCATGCCAAACCATGCCAAACAATGCCATGAAATCCCATGCCATCCCATACCATGCCATGCCGTCCCATCCCATGCCATCCCATCCCATGCCATCCCAACCCATGGCATCGCAAGGTCCATAGACCCCACCTGCACGCCGTCCACCCATGGATCAGACGCCTCGGCCTCACTATCGCCACCACCACTGCTGCTGACGCCAAGGGTGCTATCGTCGCCACTATCCACACCGGCAGGCGTGGACACGGAATGCGCGAGGCGTGCAGCAGACAGGGATGGCGCGCAACATGGTGACCGCCCGCGCATCACATGCGCCATACCGCCCCCCCCATACGCTACATCCCCGCGCACCCCGTGCGGCCATGCGGGGCTGTCCCACTGCCTGCCACAACGCATAGTCCGCGCCGCTGCTGCACCCTCCCCATCCCGTCCGCACCATCTCTGCCACCGCGCTTCGAGCTTGCTGGTCGCGCGTTGACCGATTCTTTCCCCTTTGATTGGGCGATTCTCTGAGGTACGCGCTAAGACGGCGGCTTCAGGTGCGGCGGTCCAGACAGCGGGTTGTGCGGCTGCGGGGGAGCAGTGACCCGCTCCTCTCCGCAGACCGCATGACCGTGGCTTTGTTGCGCCGCCAGCAGCTACACGATTTGCGGAGGATGATGCGGGCCGCGGTGCGGGGATTGAAACAACGAGTCGATGCGGCTTGCACGAGAGGAACGCTCGAGAGCAGGCGAGCGCCATGGCGGGCTGTGAGGGAAGGAAGGGAAGGGCATGAAGCGGAGGGCAGAAAAGGAAAGTGCAGGAAGCGGCGGGAAGGAAGGGAAGTGCAGGGATGGTTAGGGCAGGGAAGGTATGAGCGGGAAGGGAAGGGCGGGTTGGGAAGGCGATGAAGGTAATGGCAGCAGGTGATGTAAAAAGGCAGGAAGAAAAGGCCACAAAGGGTGGGGCTGTAGGGGAAGGGAAGCAACGGAAGGGCGGGAGGAGAAGGGCGGCATGGATAGAGGCGGAACAAATGGGCTGGAAGGGAAAGGGAGAATGCGAAGGGAAAGGCTGGACGTCCTGGGCAGGCATTGTAGGAGGGGAGGGTAGGGGCACATAGTGGGTGGGAGAACTCACAGTGCAGGGGGAAGCCTAGCTTCTCTTTGTGCCCCGCTATGCTGGAGATTTCTGGTGTCGGGCCTCACTCCCCTACACTTCACCCGGCCATCACTTGCTGAGGGGTGGTAGCCGTCAGCAGCAGTTGAAGCAGCGGTGGCTGGCAATAGCTACAAAGGACACGAAACTGGAGAGCGGGCAGGGGGCATGGTAGGGCATTGCAAGGAAGGTGAGCGAAATGAATGAAACGGGAGGGGAGGAGCGTGCAGGTTAGGGCATGGCGATGGGGTGGCAGGAAGGGGAGATGGGGAGGTTGGAAGGGGATATTAGGAGGCAGGCTGAGGGAAAGCCGAGGTTGGAAGGGGGTATTAAGGCAGGCAGGAGGGTGGTTGGAAAGGGCAACAGAGAGGCAGAACGGGGGAGTTTCGGAGTCACTAACGCGAGACGCGGAGTGGAGATGGGGGAGGCGGGAAAGGGAGAATGGGAGGCGGGATGGGGCGGGCGGGATGGGGAGAAGGGCGGGCGGGTCGTTGAGTTGGTGGGCGGAAAGGGAAGTTGGCGAGGCGGCCGTCGCCATCTCACCTGCGATGGCGGCGGCTAGTGAGCCGAATGAGATGGTGCGAGAGCACGCCAATCGGCAGTGTGGGGCGCGGCGAGCGTATTCAGAATGGCGTGAGTGTTAGGGTTGGTTCGCCCAACCACAGAACCTAAGGCGAAAGCTTCTACGACGGCAGAATGAAGGCGACGGAAGCGTGTGGACTATTCTAGAGAGAAACGGTGGAAATCGGCCTACGGCGTGAGAAGGGAGAGAGAAATCGAGAAGGAATGTGTGAGAAGGTGGAAGAAGCATCGAGATTGAAGTTGGCGAGGGGAAATTGTGGTTCGAGCTTGAGGCGTGTTCGAGAAGGTGCTGGATTCGGACTCGACGAGTGTTCACCGAATTCGGTTCGGTTCCGTGTACGACTCGGGGTGAAACGAGGCGCACGCGGTTACTTGGGAAACAAGTGAAGTTACGAATCGCATTTTGTGTCTTGCCTGACCATAAACCTGTTTGTACTCATTCTGGAAACACAACATTGGACAACATTGATCGGTTGGAGATTCTGAAAATTGCTGAAGTGTATTGACAACTTCAAGCAGAGCTGCGCATATCATTGGATTCGTGAGATTGTGGAGAACACGATAGGCGATAGCAAGTAGAGTATTGCCGACTAAGGTGTTCACGATCCTAAGAGTGAGGGGGCAGCGTGGGATGGCGTGGCGACGATGCGACGGGCGTCGAGGCGAGGCAGCACGGCGCGACGCGGCCTCTAGAACTGGCGCGGCGAGGCCGCGTGCAAGGGCTTGATGCGGGCGCGAGATGCGGACGTCCTAAACCTAAGATTGGCTATGGTCGAGTCGCACTTAGTGGATAAGCCGTTTCTGGATAATTATCTGGGTAGTATGCGATGGGCATGTTGCAGGAGTGGCCTTCTGAGGAGGTGTACCAGCTCCGCCTGCATTACACGAATTATGAGTGGGTGTCATCGTCAAACAACACGAGGACGAAACTGCTGAAATATTACGCACTGCAGGTCGTACCAGGTTCGTACCACCAGCACTTTGGGAGTTCAGGACTTCGACTGCGAGTGTCAACAGTCTCCAACATCTCATTGCTGAGTGTCTGATTGTTTCGAGGTTTTCACGATTGCCGTCCCCATACATATCACATGTTCGATGGCTTTTTCGAGCTGGCGAGCGATTGTCCTGCCCGAATGGAAGCTGGTTACCAGCGACGAGCATCGTCGGCGTGCATTGGGGTTGTCGTCGTTTGGTTGGTCCTGCCATTCTCGTCTGTTTCCGTCAGTCAGGCAAAACGGCGACGCGCAGGATGTTGTTTGTTGGAGCAGTGCAAACGGAATGAGTGACCAGGGTGAGAGATGGGGCATTTGGGAGATCAGCGGCCGAGATCATGCTCTGTTTCAAATCAGAGGCCACGATGCGCTGAGAAGCAAATCAGCAGCGAACATCAGCCGTCGATGGACAAATCGAAGATGAGATGATACAGGCAAACCTGACCAGGCTTGTGCATCCAACCCACTCTGCTCATTGTGCTTCAATCCAATCTGCTGTGATGCTGAGAACCCTCGCTTCATGCATTCTCATCCAGCCACTTCTGATCACCAAAATGCTCAAAGCTCGGTTTTCCAGGTGAGGGTTTCGCAACTTTCAGCAATGGAGTTCCGTTTTTTCACACATACAGGCCTTCGAAGGGCGAACAGACGTTATTTAGAGTGAAGCTCTTCAAGTAAAGCTGTTTCACGAGAGTATTCGCGAAAGCAAGAATGCAAGTTGCTGAGCGGTTTTCGAAATAGGCCCGCTTTTGACCCTTGAAAGCCAGAGTCAATCCCATCGGCACGTCGCGAATAGATAAAAGTAGTCGCGATGGACGGCGACGATTCAAGTAGCCAATTATCGGGGTCTGGGAAGCAAAGGAAGATCCGCAAAACTCCGCTGCAGCTGGAGAGACTGGAAGAGGTCTTCGCTGGTAATACTCGCTCGTCGTAGTAGGCGTAGATTATTCCTGCCACTCTCAATCTTCTATTTTGTTGAAGCTTACGATCATTATCTTACACAGTCGGATCCATCTAGCTGGTGTAAGTGGTATAGCATTTGGTGGAATTAGGCGTGATTTCTTGTTCCGTCCGACACGTCGGCAGAGACATGTCATCTCGTACAAGCAACTCGCAAATCCTTCTCCGCCAATGATAGCAAGTCACCTTTGTTTATTCGTCGCCCTTCCGCGCCCCCTCCACCCGCCACCGGCCACCCGCCCCACGTCCCGCGCAGTGCACAAGTACCCGTCGGACGACCTGCGCGCGTCGCTGTGCGCGGAGCTCGCCCTCACGGACCGCCAGCTGCAGATGTGGTTCTCGCACCGCCGCCGCAAGGACCGCATCCTCGAGAACTCCGTCGCCGCCGCCGCCTCCGCCGCGCCCAAGCCGCCCGCCACAGCATTCCTGCGCACCGCCGGCCCGCTGGACCAAGGCCCCGCACGCCCCGGCCTCACCACCCCCTTCTCCATCACCGCCGCCGCCGCCGCCGGCAGCGGTGGTGGATCCGACGCGGCGGAGTCACTAGCGCCGCCTAGACTGGGCGGCGATGCGAATGCGGAGGCGGGCGCAGAGCAGCCAGGGGGCGGTGCGCGCGTGAGCGGCCTCCTTGCGGGACGCGCGCTCTCCACGGACGCAGCCCCCGGCGCGGCGGCGCGTGCGGGCGTGTTCCGCATCCCCGCCCTCCCCTCAAAAACTCTCCCCGCGCCTCCTGGCGCGTCTCCCGTCCTCTTTGGCCGCCCCCTCGCCCCCGCGCCTGTACCCGCAGCGCCCCTCCCGCCTGCCCCCGCGGATTCCGCCGATGCGTGTGGCAGGGGGGGCGAGGGGAGGGCGGGGGAGGGGTACGTGTGGTGGAACGGGGGGGGCATGCGGAAGCTGTCAGTGGTGGGCGCGGGCAGGGCGCAGAGGGAAGGGGGGACGGCGGGGGAGTCAGGGCTGATGGCGCACGAGGAGCTGGAGGAGCAGCACGACGCCAGGGCTTTGCGCGCTGCCAGGGGGCTCGCCTGCTCCGGCGCTCGTGGCGCTGGTCACGCCAGTGCTGCCATGAGTGGCGCTGCTGCTGCTGCGGCTGCTGGAGGTGCAGTGTTGGGTACCGGCTCGGTTGGTGCTGGTGCAGGGGGTGGTGGTGCTGTGGCGTGTGCTCGCACCACACCTCGGGTCCCTGGGAGTGGCAGGGAGAACGCAGGGGGCGCAAGGGGGAGGGGCGTGCAGGGCGCACAAGGCGCAGGGGGAGCGGTAGGCAGATTGGGGGCGGAAGGGGGTGCGTGGAAGGGTGTGGAGGAGCAAGGGGCGCCGTCTGACGCATACCCTCCTGCAAGCAGTGCGCCAGGTGGCCTTGCCAACGGCCAATCAGCATTTGCCAGCTCAGCAGCATGGCAGAGTGAGCAGAACAGCTGGAGAAGGCAGGATGGGAGCGGGGAGCGGGCGGCAGGCGGGGAGGGGGAGGAGGGGGAGGACGAGGACGAGGAGCAGGCGGAGGCGGTGGAGAGGGTGAGGAGGGGCATGGGAGGCGAGTACCGGTTGGAAGGGCCGCCGCTGAGTGCCGTGTTTGACCCCGTGCCCGCCCTGCGCTTCAACCTCACTGTTGGTGCGATATGCCTCGCCCTCGCCCCCTCTTGCCACTCCCTGCTTCCTGTTTATCCCTCCCAAGACGCGCGCCACGACATCTGTGCCTGATTCAAATCGACCCATGCAGCATTCACACACGTACTGATCGGTGCAATGCGGTTCTGTGCTGTGAAAATGCTTTCCTCCCTGCCTTGCCTTGCCCCGCTGTGCCTGTGTGTGTGAGCAGTGCGCAAGGTGAGGGTGGGTCCAGGCACGGCCCAACAGGGGGCAGGCGAGGGCAGCGAGGAGAAGGGATTGGGGGGACAGGGCAGGGAGGGACAGACTGGGGAGGGGCTGCATGGCGCAGCGGAGGTGAGGGCAAGGCCTTGTTCACGTGCCTCGCTCTTGCTCTCATGCCTCCCTGCTGCTCCCCTCTCCTGCCTCTCATCGCATCTGCCGCCTGTATTTTTCGCTCTCTCTGTCTTCCGTCCTCTCTATCTCCCCTGCACCCTCCCCTCCCTTTCATCTGCGAGGCATGGAGCAGCCCACAGCCAGCACTGGCCCCCCGCCTTCTCCATTTCCCTGGCCTTCTCCTTCCATGTCATGCCTGCTCCTTGGCCCCTGGGCGCGCCTTCCTTGCTTTCCAACCACGGCCCCATTGGTTGCGCCCCCCTGTCCCCCCGCAGGCGTCCACTATCACTGTCACCTGCCCTCCCCTGCACGTGCTGGGGCCGTCACACGCGCTCCCCACCCCTACCGCTGCCAATGGGGCACTGCACCATACCGCACCTGCCGCACCTGCCACGCCCGCACCACCTGCTGCCGTTGCTGACGGGGCTCCGCACCCTTCCACTGCAGCTGGCTGCGCGGCTGCTGCTGGTCGCGTTGCTGGTGTGCCTGGGCATGCGGGTGCAGGGCTGGTAGGCAGGGCGGAGCGATTGACGCACGAGGAGCAAGAGGAGGGGCACGAGCGGGAGGAGTGGGTAGAGGAGGGGAGTGGGGAGGAGGGGGCAGACCTGCTGCATCTGCTGACTGCTGCTGCCTCGGGGTCGCCGGGCTTTGCTGCTGGGGGAGGGAAGGGTGCGATGAATGGCGTGGGGGAGAAAGGGAGAGGAGGAGCGGGTGGGAGCATGGTGGTTCGCGGGAGTAGAGGCGTGGAGAAGGGGGTGCAGGCGAATGGACTTGATTGCAGGGTGAGGAATCGAGGAACAGGTGTGGAGAACGGTGGTATGAGATTAGTGGGTGGGTTAGAGGGAGGGGATGAAGGGTTGTGGGAAGGGAAGAAGAGGGGGGGGTTGGGAGTGGGGGGTAGGGATGCTGAACCGCCGGAGGAAGAAGAGGAGGCAGAGGAGGAGGACGACGAGGAGGGAGAGGAGGATGAGGGGGAGGAGGAGGAGGAAGGGGAGGAGGCTTCACAAGAAGAGTCACGATCATGTGGGGAGAGAGGAAGCGAGGATAAGTCTGTGAACAAGAGGCGACGGGGGGCAGGTGGCTTGGATGGCGGGGTTGGGGTAGCTCCCGGGACCATGGAGGGTGGCGAGGAGGAGGCGGATAGGTCACAACGAGGCGAGCTGGCAGGGGACGGGGCGAAGCAGAGCGGCACAAAGAGGAAGAAGGTGAGCAGGGTTGCATGCACGGTGGCTAACACCCCCAACGTTGGGCTCACTTGTGTGCCAGCCTGTGCCAGCCTGTGCCAGCCTGTGCCAGCCTGTGCCGGCCTGTGCCAGCCTGTGTTGGTAAGTGTGGTGCGGGGCGGGCCATGCCGCAGCCTTCAGAGCAGCTTCTCCGCCCTTCTAAACAGCCAGTCTTGTGCTGTGATGCCGTGGGGACACTGGGAGGGCAGTGCTGTATCATGCAATGCCGTGCCTCCCACATCCTTTTTTCCGATTGCCAACGCTCACTTGTTCTCATCGTTTTCCGCTGCTTTGCTGCATGCCTGCCTGTCTCTGCGGTGTGCCCTCTGGTGCCTTGTGTGGTGTGGTGTGGGTGGCGGGGGGGCAGCAGGGGGAGGAGGGGCGGGTGCGCAAGGAGCAGCAGCAGCAGGAGAAGCGCGTGAGGCGCGAGGCAGAGAGGCAGGAGACGGCCCAACGCAAGGTGTGCTCCCCTGGCTGCTGGGGGCAATGCAGTGACGGGGGGTGGGGGGGAAGAGAGAGGGGGGAGAGGGGGGAAGGGGGGGGGGGAGGGAGAGGGTAAGGGGTGAGGTGGGTAAAGCTCGGAAAATTTGTGTTCCGCGTTCTTTTTTTCCATTGTCATTCATCTTTTGTTGTGTTGCCGCCTCTGACCTGGTGCTGTGCTGTGCTGCTGTCTTGTGCTATGCTTGCTTGCTGCAACAGATGCAGGAGGCAGCACGACGGGCAGAGGAGAGGCGGCGGCGGGAGGAGGAGAGGGAGGAGCGGGAGAGGCACAAGGAGCAAGCGAGGGAGGCGAGGGAGAGGCAGCGCGAGGAGGAGAGGGAGGCACGGGAGCGGGAGAAGGAGCGAGAGAGGATGGTTCGGGAGAAGAAGCGGGAGGAGGAGCGGCAGGCACGGGAGCAGATGAAGGAGAGCATTCAGGTGAGAAGCCTGCCTCTTGTGCGTCCTGCCCGCTCAGCTGAGCGCCACCCTCCGTGCCGCCTCCTCATTGTCTCTGTGTCGCGTCGCCCATCCATTATGTCTTGCAGCTTCCCCCTGTCAGTTGCTGAGGGTGGGGAAGCAGGACGGCATTCACCCCTTTTGTAAGCAGCGAGGGCGAGAAGGAGACAAGTGGCGCAGGCGCTATGCATTCGCCCCTTTTCCACTCTGCCCTCCGCTCCTGTGTGCCTTCCTCCCCACGCACACACCTCCCACGGTCACCCCGCCCCACCCCCATTCCCCCGGACCCTCTGTCTCTATTATCCCGCCCGCCCGCCCTTCCCAATGCAGGTGGCGAGGCGGCAGTGGCGGAGATGACTTTTGAGTCGACTCAAACGCCCCCTCTCTCCAACCACCCCCCTTCCCTCGGACCCTCTGTCTCTATTATCCCGCCCGCCCTCCCTCCTCGTTGCAGGTGGCAAGGCGGCAGCGGAGGGAGGAGCAGAGGCGGGTGCGGGAGGTGGCGAGGGAGCGAGAGCAGGCGGAGAGGGCCAAGGCGCGGCAGGCCGCAAGGGCTGCCCTGCAGCTGGTGGATGACCGGCAGCTCGAGCTGCAGGAGATGGGTGCTGGCAGGGAGCTGCTCGAGACTGCCGGGGCGGGTGAGTGTGAGTGTGAGTGTGAGGGGGAGAGGGAGAGGGCCAGGGCGCGGCAGGCAGCGACCGCAGCCGTGCAGCTTGTGGACGGCCGGCAGGTCGAGCTGCAGGAGGCTGACAGGGCGGGTGAGTGTGAGGGGGAGAGGGTGGAAGGGGAAGAAGGGAAGGAGGAGGAAAATGGTAAGGGGAAGGTGGCGAGGGAAGGGCGTGGTGCAGTGGAGGGGAACGAGCTCAAGAGTGAGTTGCATATGGCCTTGTCACACCCACCTCTTGCTCTCCGCTCTTACAAGTTACGCTCACGATATTCTTTCCCACACCTCTCATTCCCTCCTACCCCATTGTCTCTCGCCTACAATCCATGTTGTCTCTCTCTCCCTCCGCGTCTGCTCTCACTCATTCTCCGCCATGCCTCACCCTGATCACCTGTCATATCAGCGCTCCCCATCGGTCCCTCCCTGTGCCCCGCAGAGCACCTACCGCCCTTCCCCCCGTCTGCGGTGCGGCGCCACCCAGTGCTGTGCGGCGCACCGTGGTCCTCCAACCCCCAAGCCGTCAGCGACCTTCTCATGGTGCGCCTGCTCTCCCCTCTCCTCTCACTGTGCCTTACTGCCTCACCTGCTCCTCTCCCTCTCCTGCTTTCACTGCGTCACAGCCTCACATGCCAACCCCCCAAACCCCATGCCGTGCAATGCCCACCTCCTCTCACCATCGTGTCCGCCACCCTCTCCCCTTGTTCCTTTCTTCTCTCTTCTCCGATGCAATTCTGCATTGGCGCACACACACTTGACCTCTCTGGCCCCCTCACTCCCTCCACCCCATGCAGGTGTATTCGTTCCTCACCACCTTTGCAGACACCCTCGCCCTCTGGCCCTTCTCCCTGCACCACCTCGCGCACGCCCTCCACCTCCCCGTCAGTGCACACACCCATCCCCCCTTGCCTCTGTTCTGCTCCGCTCTGCACGTCTCTGCAATTGTACACATACGCGTTTTGCAACTCTCACATTCCTGCTTGCACTGTGCAAGCCTGCAAGGCCAGCAAGGTCCGGCATGTTGGCATGTGAATGGACAGCAGTTCTGCATCTCCAATCCAACAGATCGGAGATGCACAAATGCTGTCCATTTGCATGCCATTGCTTGCCCGCTCTGCTCCCATGCTCATGCTCACTCTGTCTCGCTCGCTCCCTTGCTGCCTCGCATCCACGAGGCGCTCTTCTTTTCAGCTCCTTCAAATCACATCCCTCACTCCTCTCTGCCATGCTCCACTCATCCTCCTCTCCCCTTCTCTCGTCTCCCCCATCTTTCTCGTCTCCCCCATCTTTCTCGTCTCCCCCATCTTTCTCGTCTCCCCCATCTTTCTCGTCTCCCCCATCTTTCTCGTCTCCCCCATCTTTCTCGTCTCCCCCATCTTTCTCGTCTGCCCCACCTTTCTCGTCGTCCCCATGTCCTCATCAGGAGGCGCGCCTACTCACGGAGATCCATCTCTCCCTCATGCGAGTGCTGCTCGTCGACACCGCTCCAGCCATCGCACCACCACAACCATCAGCAGCAGCTGCGGCACCACCAGCACCTCCAGCAGCAACTGTTCACGCACCCCCCACCATGCAACCCCCCATCTGCTGTGCAGCTGCAAGCCACCATACAGCCAGCCCCAGGTCGGCTCACTCTAACCTTAACCCCACTGCTAACCCTAGCGCTGACCACTTGAACGTCCTGCGTAGACCCAACAAACAAACGAGTGGAGCCACAACCACAGATGCAACTGCAATTGGCGACAGGGGAGCAGATGGAGCAGATGGAGCAGATGGGGGAGCAGATGGAGCAGATGGGGGAGCAGATGGAGCAGATGGGGGAGCAGCGCGGACAGCGGGCGTGGCAGCAGCGGTGGCGGAGGCGATGGCAGCAGCAGTGGGCGGGTCGGACACCGCCAGGGCGCTCGTGCTGCACTCCGCTGCTGCTGTCGTGGCTCAGGTGAGGGGGGGCGCCATAGCACCGTAACCATGTAACTGTGTCGCACGTGAGGTGAGCAGCGAGCACAAGGTGGTGCGGTGAGTGGCGGGGGCACAAGGTGGTGCGCTGAGTGGCGGGGGCACAAGGTGGTGCGCTGAGTGGCGGGGGCACAGTGTGCTGCAGTAAGGGACGAGCTGTGTTCACCTCTGCTCTCTCGAGTCAATCTCCTGCTACTCTCCCTCTGAAATCCACATCTTTTTCTTTTTCTTCTATCAGCATCAGCAGTCCCGACTCCTTGCACCCACAAGCTCCTGCCACACCATCCCCTCACTGCCACCCCTCCCAGGCGCGTGAGTGGGGCTTCACGCCAAGCCTGTGGCGCCCCCTCCTGGGTCCTCTCACGTGGCCCGAGGTGCTGCGCCAGTACGCCCTCTCCGCCGCCTGGGGCCCTCCGCGCCCCCCCCCTCCGCGGCGCCGCCACCGCCACTGCAGCCTTCACAGCCGTGGGTCCCGAGGGGCAGCCATGCACGGGCAGGCCTGTGGTGCGGGCGTTGGTGCGGGCGGTGACTGCAGCAATGAGAGTGGTGACGAGGTGAGGGCGGCGGGATGGTGGCATGGTGGCACGGTGGCATGGTGGCATGGTGGCATGGTGGCGTGATTGTATGATGGTATGTTGAGCCGAGAAAGGGTGATGGTGGCACAGATAGGGAGACATGAAAGCATTGGCATGTGTGAAGGTGTGTGTGTGAGTGAGACTGTGTGGAGTGTGTGCATGAGTGTAATGGTTGCTTTGCGCAATCGCCCTTGCAACCAAGTAAGAGGACAACATGTCCGTTTCGCATTGACCCATGCCCCACCACTCCCTCCCATGCCGTTACAGGCTGCTGACCAAGAAGCGCTCGTTGCTGACCTTGCATCGGGCAAAGCAGCTGACGTGGCGGCACAGCGGGCGTTGGAGGAGCAGCAGGCGTGGCGGGAGGAGCAGCGGCGGCACCTGCATGCGCAGTACCTCGCATACCTCGCTGCTGGCGGTGGCCGCTTCAGTGACGACGACGAGGAAGGGGACGACAGCAAGCAGGGGCGACAGGCAGTGGCAAGGGTAGGGGCAGGGAGAGGAGCAGCGGCAGGGAACGCAGGAGAGGACAGCAAGGGCATTGATGGCGCTGCTGCTATCGACGCGAACCCTCTCCCCCCTGCCACTGCCTCTCCTCCGCCAAAGACCCTGCCAGCCAGCAGCAGCAGCCCCCACGTGTCTGCGGTGCCGCGCATTGTGGCACGGCTGGCGCCCGGCACCGTGAAGTTTGCGGCCTTCCACGTGCTGGCGTACGAGGGGCCAGCCGGGCTGCCCGTCACTCTCTTAGCACAGCGCATCCAGCAGTGCGGGCTGCGGGACCTGTCTGGCAGCCGCACCCCTGAGGCTACCATTACTGGTGCGCTGGCGAGAGACCCGCTGTTCCAGCGCGTGGCCAGCTGCACCTACTGCGTGCGCGGGGCGTACAGGCGGAGCGAGGGGGAGCGAGAGGAGGGGCTGCGGGAGGCTGTTGAGCTTGTGCAACGCGCGGCTGAGGGGAGGCGAGGGGAGGAGGAGGGGGATGAGGGAGAGGAGGAGGGAGACGAGAGAGAGGTGGAGGGAGAGGATGGAGAGGATGGAAAGGAGGTGGGTGGTGAGGGTGAGAAGGAGGTGGAGGGTGAGGAGAAGGAGGTGGAGGGTGAGGAGAAGGAGGTGGAGAGTGAGGGTGTAGGTGAGGAGGAGGGTGGGGGAGGAAGGGAGGCCGCGGAAGAGGGTGGTGGGGCAGAGGAGGGAAGGCAGCAGAGTGGTGGGCAAGGGCGGGGCGAGCGCATGGACGTGGATGGGCCGCGTTGTGAGGGCGGTGGTGCAGGAGGTGGGGGCGGTGCAGGCAGCGAGGGCAGTGAACGCAGAGAGGGTGGTGAATTGACTGGGCGGTGCAGGGCACCCGAGCAGAGCGGGCAGGACAGCACAGAGGAAGGCATGGCTGTGAATGACATGATGGATGCGCGACACGTGCGCGTGACGGGCGAGGGCTTGCAGGGCGAAATGATGGAAGGAGGGGTGGGCACGAGCACGAATTTCAGGGGCGATGAAGCGGTGAGGGCGACGGTGACAGATGCAGAGGATGCAGGCGGCTGTGGTGCTGCAATCGGGCCTGGTCCTGCTGACACCATGGTGCATGGTGAGGCGATGCGAGGCGACGGCAGTGTGGAGGTGGGCGGCGATGTGCGGATGGCGTGGTGTGAGGGAGTGCGGCTGGGGGAGGAGGAGGTGCAGGCGGTGGATGGCATGCAGGCGGTGGATGGCATGCAGGCGGTGGATGGCATGCAGGCAGGGCGTGGGAGGGGCGAGGGAGGGGAGACGACTGGTGATGAGAAACAGCAGCAGGGCAGGGGGGAGGAGGGTGGTGGTGCTGGTGGCAGCGGTGATGAGAGCGAGTGGGAGTGGGAGTCTGATGAGGAGTGTGATGGAGAGGAGGACGCAGAGGAAGTGGAGGGTGGGGAGGGAGAGGCAGGGCAGAGGAGGGCATGGGTGGCGGCGCTGGGAGGGGTGGAGTACAGCGAGCTCAGTGTGGAGGAGCGGGTTGACCTGCTCGTTGACCTGGTCAACGCAGTCAACGACTCCTCCACCATCCGCGCTGCCATCGAGGTGCGCTCTCTCTCCTCCTTTCTTCTCACTGCCACCTCCCCGTACTTGGCTGCTGCATGAACCAAGAGCAAGGTGCGCTCCACCCATCGTTTCAATATGTTCCCTGCTAGCCCTCTTCTTGTGTTCCAACCTCTTCTTTCTCCCTCTCGCCTGCCCATCTCTGCTGGGCAGGCGCGGTACGAGGTGCAGTCATCATACCGGCGGCAGCGGTGGGTGGAGGCGTCGCTGCACCGCAGGAAGGGCGCCTGGCGGCCCCCCGCCCTCCACCCCGCCTCCCTGCCCCTGCGCTGCCCTCCCCACGCTGCTGCGAGTCCTTCTGGTGATGCTGCACCTGATGCTGCTGCTACGGCAGCTGGAGGCGATGGTGGTGCTGCTGCAGCAGGAGCGGCCGCCACGTCTTCCCCACCCACTCAAGGCGCAGCACCCGCTGGGAACCAGGCGGTGGGAGCGGTGCTGCAGGCGTCGCTCTCTCAGGCTCCCCTGCTGCTGCCGCCACCCCTGCTGGTCACACAGGGAGTGCCTCCAGAGGCAAGGGGGAGAGATGATGGTGGGGCGAGAGGGGATTTGAGGGAGGAGGGGAAGCCAGTGGAGAGAGAGGAGAAAGAGGAGAGTGGAAGGAGGGTGGAGGAGTGGCAAAGAAAGAGTGAAGGAGACGAAGCAACGGTGGCGAGGAGCAGCGAGGATAAGGGGATAAGGGCTTCTGAGATGCCTCAAAAAGCGGAGGCGATGGGGACAGGAAAGCATGCGGTGAAGCAAGAAGCGAGCGTGGAGGAATGTGAGGGGCGGGTGCATCGGGAAGGGGTAGTGGGAAGGAGGAGGGATGGACGTGGCGAGGCAGAGGGGATGGCGGGGTGCAGCAAGGAGGAGCAGATGGACGAGGAAACCACAGAGGTGAGGAAAGAACAGCGGGAACGAGGGAAGAAGGAGGGGCTACAGGGAAAGCCGAGGAGTGATGTGAAGGGGGAGGGGGAGGAGAAAGAGAGGTCAGAGGCAGGGAGGCAGTTGGCGGAGGAGGGGGTGACTCCAATGTCCTGTGATGCTCCTGCTGTGTCTGTTCCTGCTGCTGCTCATACCATTGCTGCCGCTGCTGCCACTGTCACACCTGTTGCTGTTCGTGGACCGGATGACTCTGCACCTGCTGTTGCAGACGCTGCTGCTTCTGGCTCTCTGGCAAGGGCTGCTTCTGGCTCTCTGGCAAGGGCTGCTTCTGGCTCTCTGGCAAGGGCTGCTTCTGGCTCTCTGGCAAGGGCTGTTTCTGAAGCTCCTCCCCGTGCCACCACAGCTGCTCCTTCCAATACGCCTCTCCCCGCTGCACCTCCTCCCAATGCAAGCACGGCAGCTGTTCCTGCTTCTGCTGCTGCTGCTGCTGCTGCTGCTTCTGCTTCTCCTGCTGCTGCTTCTGCTTCTCCTGCTGCTACTGCTACTTCTGCTTCTGCTACTTCTATTACGGCTGTTCCTGCTGCCGCTTCTCCGGCTGCTCCTGCTACTTCTGCTACTACAACTACTGCTGCCTTTACTGCTATTGCTACTCCTACTGCTAATGCTGTTAGTGCGTCTCCTCCTCCTTCTTCTCCTGCTGCTGCTGCTCCTGCTGCTCTTGCTGCCCCTGCTGCCCCTGTTTCTCCTGCTGCCCCTGCTGCTCCTGCTGCGATTGCTGCTACTGCTTCTCCTGCTGCTAGTGTTGCTACTGTTTCTCCTCCTCCTGCCGCTGCTGATCTTGCTGCTACTGCTGTCCCTGCTGCTGTGACTTCTCCTCCTCCTGCTGCTGCTCCTGCTTCTACTGCTGCTAATGCTTCTCCTGCTGTTACTGTTGCTAATGCTTCTCTTGCTGCTACTGCTGCTCGCGCTGCTACTTCTTCTCCTCCTCCTGCTGATGCTTCTCCTGCAACTAATGCTGCACCTGCTGCTACTGCTGCACCTGCAGCGGCGGCGCCAGGCGGGGTGGAGTTTGCAGAGGCGAGCTACAGCATCCGCCACGTGCCTCTGGGCTGCGACCGCCGCGCCCACTCCTACTGGTGCTTCCACCGCCTCCCCCTCTCCGCCACCGCTGCTGCTGCTGCTGCTGCTGCTGCTGCTGCTGCTGCTGCTGGTGCGCTCCCTGGGCACGAGGTGTGCCGCTGGCGAGGATATGGGGGAAGGAAAGAAGGGGACGATGGAAGGCGGGGAGGAGAAAGTGGTGGTAGTGATGGTAATGGTGGGGGAGGTGGCAGGGGAGGGGAGCAGGCGATGGTGGGGGTGTACGTGCTGTCAACTGACGGGCAGTGGAGCGCCATTCGAGACGCCCAGGTGCGCGCAGAAAAATAGGTTGTATGGAAGGTGCGTGCAAAATGGTTATGTAGCACCTGAGGGGTCAGCCTAGGGTTCTGCACATTTGGAAGGGCTTCATCCTGTTCCTACCCTCCTTGTTCCAACGCCCACCACCATTGAGTGTGACTCCTTTCGTCCCAAGCCCACGCTTCACCGCCTCATCCACTCACTCTTTCCCTCGCCGCTCCCCACATTCACAGTCTAGGCCTTCACCCATGTTTCCCTCCCCTCCTCTTCTCCCCATCTCCCCCCACGTATTCTTGCAGTCACTGGCGCATCTCAAGGCGCTGCTGTACCCGCGCGGTGTGAGGGAATCCGCGCTGCTCTCCAACCTCCGCCACCACCTCTCCTCCCTCACTCCACCGCTCTGCACCACTGCTATACCCGCCACCACCACTGCACCGGCTGCTACCATCACCACACCAGCTGCCACCACCATTGCACCCCCAACAGCCTCTGCTGGTGCCCTTGAGTCGCCTCCTCCACCCCTCATGTCGTCCGTGCCACCAGCCTCACCTCCCATGCCACCCAACGCACCTGCCACTCCACCAGAAGCACTAGCCACCCCCTCCGAAACACCTGCCGTGCCGCCTAAACCACCCGTGGGTGACACAAAGGGGGAGGGTGCCATGATGGCGGCTGCACCAGCAAGCAGGGAAGCAGATGCCACGCAACCTGTGCTCCCCCCTCCCCATGCCCCTGCTGCCGCCACCATCCAACCCGCCCAGGCGAATGAAGGTGGCGCCAGGCTGGCATGCCCACCCATGCACACATGTGAGCCCGTGCACAGCACTGCTCTCGCTCCACCTGCTCACACCCACCACCACCTGAGAGCCACCCCTCCTGCACCACCCCTGCCCTCACCCTCTTGCGCTTTCCTCTCCGAGGAAGCTTCCTGGCTGCTTCGATCCATTGGGGATGCAGAGGCCGGGTTGTGGGGTGGCCGGGGCGGGATTGAGTCGATGGTGTGTGATGGAGAGTGGTGTAGTGCGATGGGGAGGGGAGGGGGTGTAGGAAGAGGCAGGGAACAGGAACAGAGAGGGGTAGGGAAGGAGGGAGAGCAGAGCAGGGAATGTGGCGAGGTGGTGAGAGGCGACAGGCAGGAGGAGGAGGGGGGAGCAGCACTTTGTCGTGATGTAACTGCTGGTGCTGATGTGGCCGCAGCACAGCGCGCTTCCCTGGGTGCTGATGGCAGGGATGCAGCAGTGGCAGTAGCAGCACCAGCGGCAGCGACAGCACCAGCGGCAGCAGCAGGTGCTGCTGTGGGCTGGGCAGGGTCAAATGCGGTGGTGGCATGTGGGGAGTGCAAACGTGTGGCAGAGGAAGGCACAGCAGGTGCAGCGAGTGGAGCAGCAGGAGTAGAGGGGGCAGGCAGGGAGGAGGGCTGTGGGGCGGCCATCCCCCCCCGTGTGCGGCGCCTCCAACACTCCCTGCTGGCTTCCCAGGTGTGCTGTGGAGCATCTGGGGCATGTGGGTTTCTGCATACCCATACCCATGCCCATGCCATGCCCATGCCATGCCCATGCCATGCCCATGCCCATGTTCACGCCCATGCCCATGCTTATGCCCATGCCCATGCCCATGCCCATGCCCATGCCCATGCCCATGCCCATGCCCATGCTTATGCCATACCCATGCCCATACCCATGCCCATGCCCATGCCCATGCCCACGCCCACGCCCACGCCCATGGCCTTGGCAGGAGGCATTGGAGGCGGGGGGCAAGCTGGCGGTGGAGTGGACGGGGGAGAGAAGGCGCAGGTGGCGTGCAGCGGTGCACATGGCGTGGCATGCTGCACACCTGCTGCAGGTATGCCTCGTGTGCATGTGACAGGCATGGCAGCAGGCAGATAAGGCTTATGGGGCAACGTATGGCAGCAGGTGTGGGATTCTCTTTTGTTTCTCCTCACTTTCGCGCTCTCACCTCCGCTCCTCCCCATCCCAGCGCCCTTTCTCTACCTACTGGTCCATCTGTCTCTACCTACTGGTCCATCTGTCTCTACCTACTGGTCCATCTGTCTCTGCCTACTGGTCCATCTGTCTCTACCTACTGGTCCATCTGTCTCTACCTACTGGTCCATCTGTCTCTACCTACTGGTCCATCTTTCTCTACCTACTGGTCCATCTGTCTCTCCCTGCGCACGTCACCACGTGCCTCTTGCCCCTGCTCCGTTTCCCCACTTCCCATAGCTCCTCCCACCCTCGACTGCCCCTTGAACACCCTTCGTTTCAACCACCCTTTCGCCAGGCCTCCCTCACTCACCCCAGACCAGTCACCAGACACCCCACCCGGAACGAACATCCCACTCTCCAAACATTCCCTTCCCCACCCTCTTGCTGTCCCTTTCCTTCTTCCCCCCCTCTTTCTGCAGCTGCTGTGCCAGCTGGAGGCCGCCATCCCCCCCACCTTCATCCACGGCTCCTTCAGCCCCGCGCCAAATGTCGCCCTACGATTGGCTCTCAGGATGCGAGGGAGTCGAGGTGAGCCCGCAGCTCAAGCTGGAAGGAGCGGAGGGGAGAGGGGCAAAGACGGGGACGAGAGGGGGAGTGGAGGAGAGAGCGGGAGGGAGGAGGGAGAGCGGGGTGAAGGCGGGACGGGGTGTGGTGAGGAGGCCAGGCAGGCGGGTGGTGCTGCTGGCGAGGTGGGGGAGAGGAGGAGCGGACATGAGGGAAGGTGCTCGGCAGAGGAGGCAGTTGCTGTTGCTGTTCCAGACAGGGGGCAGAGCATTGCTGGTGCAGGCGGTGGGATGGAGGAGGGCAAATCCACAAGAGAGGGTCAGACGGACGTGGGTGAGGAGGGGAGGCAAGGGGGGAACGGCAGAGAAAGAGGTGGGAGGGATGGCGAGCAGGCTGTAGCAGGGGGGTGGACACGGGCCCTTCCTTCCCTTGTTGCCATGCCGCTGCCCACTGTGCCCCTCACGTGCGCTGCTGTCGCTCTGCGATTGGCCGCCCTGGAGGCAGCTGTCCTGGGGGATAGGCGAGGAGCTGGGGGGAGTGCGGGGACTTGGAAAGGGAATGGTAGAGGGGTTGACGCAGGGCGTGGCGGGGAGTTGGGATGGTGGGTGCCTGATGAAGCAAGGCGACTGGAGGGGGTGTGGTGGGAGCAGGTGGAGGGGGCGAGGAGAGAGGAGGCAGTTGAAGGGATGGTGGACTGGGCGGAGTGGGAGGCGAGGGAGGTGGTGCGGCGCACGCAGGACAGGGAGCGGGCGAAAGGGAAGGAGGAGAGGGAGAAGAGGGAGGGGAAGGTGAAGGAGAAAGGGAGAGGGAGAATGCGAGAGGAAGGAAGAGTGAAGGGCGGGAGGGGTAAGAAGGGGGGATGGGGTAGAGGGGTCGGTGAAGGGGGGGCGGGCAGAGGATTGTGTAGGACGGGGCGGAATGAGAATGAGCGCTTGCAAAGACTGAAGAAGAAAGGTGGGGTGAAGGTGCGTGCAGGGAAGAGAAAATGGAAGGAGGTGGTTGAGGAAGCAGAGGAGGAGGAGGAAGAGGAGGAAGAGGAGCAGAAGCAAGAGGAGGAGGAAGACGAGGAAGAGGAGGATTTGCAGGTGAAGCTTCGAGTGCGAACGAAGGGGCTGCGACGACACGTGAAGAAGAGACGGATGGGTGCTGACGAAGGGGGTGTGAAGGACGAGACTGGCACACAAGGCACAGAGGAGGGGCAGGAGGTGAAGCAGGGGAAGGTGAAGAAGAGGGATGTGAAGAGAGAAAGCAGAGATGCGGGAGTGAGGCACGGAGTGAAGACAGAGGAGGGAGAGGAGGGGGTGAAGCCGCAGATGGTATCAACGGGAGCGAGGGCGGCCCGCATGAGTGGCAGGGCAAGCAGGCGCGTGCAGCGGCCGCTGTCGGCCCGTGGCAGAGGTGCCGTGCGGCGTGTGGGACGGGAGCAGGAGGCGGAGGTGGAGGAGGGGGAGGGGGTGAAGGAGGAGGAGGACGGGGAGGAGGATGAGGGGGAGGGGATGAGGGAGGAGGGGCAGCAGCAGCGGGGGCAGCAGAAGGGCAGAGCGTCAATGTCTCGACAGAAGCAGGTGAGGGGGGCAGATGGGTCGATGGTGTAAGGTTGGCCTATGGCGGGCGAGGAAGTTAGCATGCGCCTGCTTGAGCGTCTTCTCATACACCCACGCATCTGCTTGAGCGTCTTCTCATACACCCACGCATCTGCTTGAGCGTCTTCTCATACACCCACGCATCTGCTCGAGCGTCTTCTCATACACCCACGCATCTGCTTGAGCGTCTTCTCATACACCCACGCATCTGCTTGAGCGTCTTCTCATACACCCACGCATCTGCTTGAGCGTCTTCTCATACACCCATGCATCTGCTTGAGCGTCTTCTCATACACCCACGCATCTGCTTGAGCGTCTTCTCATACACCCACGCATCTGCTTGAGCGTCTTCTCATACACCCACGCATCTGCTTGAGCGTCTTCTTATACACCCACGCATCTGCTTGAGCGTCTTCTCATACACCCACGCATCTGCTTGAGCGTCTTCTCATACACCCACGCATCTGCTTGAGCGTCTTCTCATACACCCACGCATCTGCTTCCCTGGCTTGAGTGCCACTGCCTCTTGTGTTTTCTTTTGATTGCTCACATTCTAACTCGTGTTTCAAGTAGTAAGGGCACAACCTCATTGCACTGCACTGTACTGAACTGCATTGCACCGCATCCCACTGCATGGCACTTGGTTGTGCAGGCGAGCAAGGAGGAAGGCAGCGCAGCAGCAGCCACTTTGCGACTGCGGGCGTCCATCAACCCACCCGCACCTGCACTTTGCTTCACACGTGCCAAGCCCCCTTGGTTCATGAGGGCAGCCGGTGCCGCTGGTGGCGGCAGTGGGAGGCGCAGCGCTGCAGCGGTGGTTCAGTCTGGTGTTGAGTCGCACTCGCGCTCTCAACTTAGTCACCATGCTGACCTCGGTGCTGCTGCTGCTCCTGCTGCCAATGGCACTGGCTCGGCTCACAGCGACGAGGACAGTGAGGAGAGCCGTGGCAGCGACGACAGGGACAAGGGCAGTCAGAGCAGCAGCAGTGAGGAAGGCGGTGGTGAGGGGCATCACAGTCCTGCACGCCCGCCGTCGCCAGCAGCAGTGAGTGCTCCCTCTCCTTCCCGCCCGCCACCGCGCAAGCGACCGCGCTCCCACCTCCCTGCACATGCACATGCCCTGTCTGCCCGAGGCTCTGCCGCTGCCGCTGCTACTGTGGTGAAGATGGAGGCTCGGGCAGGGTTGCCGACAGGCTTGGAGGCAGGCTCGGGTGGAAGGGGTGGAGGTTCGGGAGGGAGGCAACGCGTGGTTGGAGCAGGTGGAGATGGGAAGAGGGTGGGTGGTGGTCGGAGCAGGAGGCAGGTGAAGCAGGGGAAGCAGGAGAAGGAAGAGAAGGAAGAGGAGGAGGAGGAGGAGATGGAAGGGCGAGGTGGGGAGGAAGGGTTGGCAGGGAGAAGGACAACACGCAGGCAGGAGAGTTGGGGCAATGGAACAGTGGAAGCTGAGCTACCGCAGAGAGGGAAGAAGGGGAGAGAGGGAGGGGCTAAGGCAGGTGGGGAGAAACGGAGAGGGGGAGGTGGAGGGGCGGGCACTGGTGGGGCGGGAGGAGAGGATGAGAAGCAGGAGGAGCGGAGAGTTGAGACGGGAAGGCCGCGGAGAGAAGCGAGTTTGCGAGCCAGGAAGGCACAGGAAAAGATGCTGCTGCGGGAGAGGGGCGGAGGGATGGAGGGCGTGGAGGAGGAGAGGACAGGGAGAGGCGCAGTGAGAGGAGCGCGACGGAATGCCACTATTACTGGAGTGGAGAGGAAGGGGAAGGACAAGGGTGAGAGGAGCGTGGGGGGACGGGGCGGTGGGAGAGGCAGAGGCGAGGCAAGCGCAACAGCAACGGCGGCAGGCGGCGAGGAGGGCAGCAAGCGAGCATTCAACACGAGAGCGGCACGAGCAGCAGCGGGTGGCAGCGGTGGTGGCGGTGGGAGTGGAGAGCGCAGCAGGCGGGGTGTGAGGGGTGTGAGGCATGGCATGGGTGGTGGAGAGGCAGGGGACGCACACCCTCTTGCCTCGCCTCAAGCACCCGCTTCTCCACCACCAACACACTCCCCTCAACCTTCCCACTCCCCTCGACCCGACTCCCCGCCAGCGATTCTTTCAGGCTCGAGCAGTGATGGCACGGGACAGGGTCGGGAGGACGAGAGGGGGGATGGGGAGGAGACGGCAGGGCGGCAGCATGAGGAACAGCAGGAGAGGACGGTGAAGCCAGTGCAGTCAGGCAGTGAGGACTCGTCATACTACCTGGGGTCGCCGCTGCGCCTGGACGCCCCTCAGTGGCCGGCCTACCTTGACCCTTCCTCTGCTGACTCTGCTCCTCGCTTTCCCCCCTCTCACTGACTCACTCACTCACTGACTGGGTTGTGTGTTGCGGCGATGATGCCGCTGGTTCCAGGGAAGGTTTACCACAGTTGAAGTTGACAGCACTCACAAGCAGAGCAGCAATGGTGCCATGAAGGGATGTGGCGGGCAGGGAAAGGTGCTTGAGTGCGCTGCAGGGCCGTGCCACTGGGCCATGTGCCACAAGCAGTAGCTGTGGTAGGCAGGTGGTGGTCGGTGGTAGGTTAGAGGCTCGCCGTGGTAGGTCCCCAGGTATGTGTTGGAGATAGCTACAGTAGGAACGGGCAGGCTGTGTGGAATCTGCAAGTAGAGCTTGCTCTTTCTGATTTGCTTGAATCAAGCCAGCGCCCTTGCACAATGCAATACAATGCAGGAGTTAGCCGTACAGCACAGCAAGCAAACCTTGTACACACCGTACATGTATGCGAGAGGATAACAATTGTGATGATACGTTTTTCCACGTCAAAGGCAGAAGCCCCTGTGCATAACATGTGCAGCACCGAGCTTTCAAGCGTCACATTTGATTTGACTCATGTGGGACGAAGCTTGAGACTACAGTGAACTGCGTAATCATTCTATTATCAAGCGGGCGCTGGCTCGGATCACATCAGAACACCTTCTCCACCACCTTGCCCAACCGTCTCTGCGTGACTCTCAGCCAATCAGACGCATCCTCTGCTCGCACGATGGTCCAATCACAAAGCTCCTCCCACCGCGCCACGGCCCACCGCTCTGCCTTGGACTGCACGTCCTCTGCCATCCGCCCACTGTTCACGTACACCACCAGTGCCGCCCGCCTCTCCTGCACTACAGACAACGCACTACGCCTCTTCTCCTCCACCTCCTCCTGCACCTTCCCGAGAAGCTTCCTCACATCTTCTGGGACGTTTCCGGAGCGAAGGTACCCTGCCAGGTCGGTGGCGTGAGTGAGAAGGAGCTGGCGCTGCGGTGCAGTGCGGTTGAGAAGGGTGAGGGAGAGTTGGAGGAGGGAGTGGGAGAGGCGGAGCGAGGCGGAGAGGAGGAGCGGGCCGAGCAGCCAGAGGGGTGCGAGGTCGGCTGCTGTTGCTGCCCCGAACAGTATGTTGACCACCGCGAACAGTGGTAGGCTGCATTGGGGGGATAGGCGGGAGGGAGTGCAAGGGGGGAGAGTGATCAGGGAAGGGAATCGGAAAGAAAATCGGCAAGGGAGAAAGGAGGGGAGGACAGTAGGGGAGAGGAGCTGGAGGGACTAGGCGACGGACAGGAGAAGTGGGGTGCTGCAGCTGCTGGCATGACAGGGAGAGTGACGGGAGGCAGGGTGCTGGGAGGGGATGGGAGGCGAGGGGATGGGATGGGAGGGGAGGGGAGGGGAGGGGAGGGGAGGGGAGGGGAGGGGAGGGGAGGGGAGGCATGTGAAGTGGGCAGGGGGGTAAACGTGGTGGGACGGGGTGTGGAGCACGTGCACGCCGCCTCACCAGACCACCTCCCTTTGCACTGCACCCACGCCGCTGCTTCACGCACACCACCGCCATGCACCATGTCCTCAAATCCGCCCTAGTTCCCCTATCCCCTCTGTTCCCCCCTGTCCCCCAAATTCCCCTTTCCCACTACACCCATATCACCCCTCCATACTATGACCACGGCCAGATTCACCCGAGCCGCTGTGATAATCACAGAACCGCCATGCAATGTATTCACCCCCTCCCACGCCATCCGCTCTTCCTCCCCCCCTCATCCTCCCCATCCCCCCCCCCCCCCCCCCCCCCCACGCACAAGATCGCAACGGGCCATTTCACCCACGTCGCCGCTGTCGCCCACCACGCTAGAACCGCCGCCTCCGCCGCCCGCACCACGTCAGCTGCCACGTGGCCGGCGTCCATTGGCCGAAGAGCGCTAGAGCTCGGTACATCGCGCGACGGCTCGGAATCCCCCGGAAAACTGTTCGCAGACGCTGCGGTAACCACCAGCGGGCGACAACCTCGTCGCTTATTCGCAGCGGTAGCGCGCGGGACTAGAAACGGAAAGAACGGTTTCTCCCCGTGGCTACTGCATAAAGCACTCAGGCATGCATTCCCGACTGCGGGCGAGGTCAGTCTAGGGTTTCCGTGAAAGGCCTGACTCGCGGGTTGCGCGGACATGGAACAGGTGCGGCCTCGCAGGGAACGCAATCCTGATGGCGGGCTGCCCGATTGGCGGAGTGCGCTAAACCCTGCGGGAGCGGAGACTGAAAATGTTGCGGCGGTTTGGCGCGCTATTAGAGGGGAGAAGGCGTACTGGGAGAGAGCCATGGCGCGTGGCACTCGCTTCGCACTCCGAGAGTCGTGCGCACGAATGAAAGGTTAGGGAGTGGTGGGTTATGGAGGGGGTGGTTTGAAACAAAACTGCTGGGCACACAGTACTCAGGGCGTGTACGAATGCACAGAGTCAAGGAGTAGGGAGATTGGTCAACCAACAGCAAGCCAAACTACTCGAACATGTTTGAGTTCGAGTGGGTTTTGGGAAGTAGACCTGGATCAGTCGAACATTCTGGAGTCAAACCTTCGCATGTTCAACCTCAACATGTTTTGCAAAAAAGAAAACCTTGTTCCGTTCGACTCGAAACTGGGCATGGTGGGGTTCGGGAAATTAGTTGGCCAATTGTGTTGCTCGCTCCAACCAAGATTCCTAAGGTTGAAGTTCTTGGCCCGCGGGTTTTAAATCAACCAGAACAGCCGAAAGCCACACACATTTTTGCGATGCTGGTGCCTCCGCATTCTCCGGCGGTCCTGCGAACCGCATCGCAGGTACCGTCGTGCGTCCTCCGCGACGACGGTAACCATGGCATTAGTATCGTTCGCCGTCGCACTGCCTACATTCCCTGCCCCGACAGCTCTCCTCATGCCACCCGTGGCCTCCACACGTGCAGGCCGCCACCCCCCGTGCCGCTTGTTTCCGACTCGTCTCCGTGCCCGCTCGTAGGCCTTCCCTCGACTCGGTACCGGCGCTTAGCTAAACGCGCAGTTAAAACGCGAGGGACGAGCTATGCACACGATGAGATAGGGACGAGCAGGTTAAGGGAAGAGAGGGATAACGGTGAGGGGAATGACGCGGTGAGAGAGAGCAAGCCGATGGAGGAGGAAGGGAGAGAGCCGTGGCAGGAAAGTAGAGCGGAAGGGAGGAGGGAGAAGGGAGAGGGGGAGGGGGTCGCAGGGAAGGAGCAACAAGAGGGCGGGGAAAGGGCGAAGGCAGGGCGGCAGTACCATCTGCTGTGTGTGAGCAACGGGCATGGCGAGGACACGATCGCAGTCAGCATTCTGAGCGAGATGCAGGTGCGGGGGAGATGCAGGTGCGGGGGAGATGCAGGTGCGGGGGAGATGCAGGTGCGGGGGAGATGCAGGTGCGGGGGAGATGCAGGTGCGGGGGAGATGCAGGTGCGGGGGAGATGCAGGTGCGGGGGAGATGCAGGTGCGGGGGAGATGCAGGTGCAGGGGAGATGCAGGTAAGGGGGAGATGCAGGTAAGGGGGGCTGACAAGGCAGAGTGCCTAGGAACAAGAAGCGGGGAGGAACGCACATCATGGGCTTTGGACGCATCGTATAGAGTGCGCTGTCCCGTTGCCATGGCTTCACCATCCTCTCCCCTGTACCGCCATTCAACCTCTTTCCATCCATGCGCGCATCCTTGCAGGCAGTGGCAGCACATCGGGGCATGACGGTGCGCGTGTCAGCGCTGCCGCTGGTGGGCATGGGGGCGCCATACCACCGCCACGGCATCCCCACCATCGGCCCCGCCAAGACCATGCCCAGTGGCGGGTGAGCCGCTGCTGCTGCTGCTGCTGCCGCCGCCGCCACCGCCTCCGCTGCTGCTGCTGCTACCTTTTCACCCATGCTGTGGCGTGCCTCGTGCCTCGTTATGCACACCTTCATCCTCGTACACACATGCCATCATGCAAGGTTCTCACACACCATGATCCACAATGCCATCCGCATGCCATGCCACGACCAAGCCCCGCACAAGCAATGCTGCCACAGTTGAAGAGCAGTACAGTGGAAGAGAAACGAGGGGGGTACGTGGGAAGTAGGAACAAGAGAATGCTGCGCCTTGCCTTGCCTTGTTGGATCGCGTTCTCTCTCTAATGCATGGACTCAACCACATACTTGACGCCATGGCGTGTGTGCGCCGTGCCATGCAGGTTCATCTACATGGACGGCAAGCAGCTCGCAAATGACGTGGCAGCGGGTCTGCTGGACCTCACGTTGCAGCAGGTATGTACGTGCGTGCGTGCAACCGGTGCCATAGCGGGCTCTGTTCCACCATGTGCGCTCTCTCCCACGTGATTCTTACTTGTGCCTCTCCCCACACCTTCCCGTTCTCGTTCCCCACCTCCCTTCACTCACAGCGTCCTACCACTTGTCACCACTCCTCACTGCTTCCCACCGCACCGCATCCAACCCTTGCAGTGGCAGGCAATGAAGCGGTGGGTGGAGGCGCAGAGCAGCACGACAGGCGCCATCGTGGCCGTGGGTGACGTCTTCCCCCTCGCCCTCGCCTGCCTCGCCTCCCACCACGCCACCACGCTCCCTGCCACTGCTGCGCCCAGCACTGCCCCAGCAGCATCACGGCCAGCGGCACTGCCCTTTGCCTTCATGGGCACGGCCAAGAGCGAGTTCTACATCCGCGCGGACCACGCCCGCCTGCTGCCCTCGCAGGCCACAACATTCGGTGAGCATGGCAGTAGGCACTACTCACGCTGATTGGCTTGCCAGGGACGGCCTAGAGGCGGGTTCATGTGTGAGGGGGCGCTAGGCGAGTGGGAAGGCGGAGTGGCAGTGGGGCAAGTGTTTGGGTGAGTAGAAGGGTAGGCATCCCTCCATGCGCTGGCTGGTACATATGGCATATGAGGAGGACTGCGGTTGGTCTGGTGACAAGACATGCTCTGCCATGGCACTGTGGTGATGTGACGCAAGCAGCCCCGATTCACCACTCAAATGTGACTTTCTAGTATGGCAAGGTACAGTGAGAGTGCAGAGAGGGCAGCAGGGCAATGTGGCATGTTGGGGACCTGGCGAGGATCTGAACTGGACATTGACGTTCCACCCTCCCTTCCACTCTCCCCTCCCTCGTCCCTTCCCTCCTCCCTCACCCCACCGCCTTCCCTCACACCGCTGTCCCTGTGCATTCTCCTGCTGCTCGTGCTGCCATGCCATGCCATGCCATGCTCCTTGCAGTGGAGAGGTGGTGGCACAGAGGGGGAGTGTACCACCCGTGGGAGCGATGGCTCATGGCGCATGCATGCTGCAGGTGAGACTTCATCTCCTCATCCTCACCCCTCCATCCACCCCTCTCCCTCTCCGCCTCTCCCATCCAGCCCGCCTTACTGTTCAAGTGTGAAACCAGGATGCATCCTACGGCCATCCATCCGTGTTCCTTCACCACCCTCCCACCCCATCCCCCACCGTGCGCCTCTCCCCTGCCAGGCTGGCGGCAGTGAGGGACCGCCTCACTGCTCAGGTGCTCGCCCAGAACATGCTCTTGGAGGAAGCTTCCCCCTCTGCTTCCTCCTCGTCCTCCCCTGGCACGGTGCAGGATGGCAGCGAGGCAGGGCTGTTCAGACGGGGCAAGGTGAGTCCAGAGGACGCCAGAACTGTCCAACAGAATCCAAGGCAACTCCAGATGAGTCAAGGCAAGTCAAGGCGAGTCAGTAAGTGCCCTTCCAGGTCAAGGTGAATGAAGAAGAATGGTCAACTAGAGTCAAACGAGCCACACCGAGTTACTCAGCTGCCCAGAGCTAAATGGAAACCAGAGCCAGAGGGGGGCGACTCAACACGGGTCATCTCATCGTGCGTCAGGCAGGGTCTCCATACCACGTGCACCCCATGGCACGCATCCATGGCATGGTGGCCAGCAACCTGAGTACCCCCATGAAGAACTAATGTTCCATGCCTTTCATTGCATTGCACCCTCCATGTGTACTCACCATGCGCACCCACCACCCACCATGCGCACTCGCCATGCGTACCCGCTATGCACACCCACCATGTGTACGGCCCATGGCATATGGATATATGCACGTCATGCATATTATGATAAATGACATTTCTGAGTAACCCTGTGATTGCTCATGTATGCTATTCCGCACACCACACCATGTGTACCCCATGGCATGTGCATGCATGTGCATGCATGGCATGGCAGGTGGCGTACCTGGGCAACCCCATGATGGACCACATGGCGCCATCGCCCCACCTGCACACCTTCATCCGCACCCACCTCCGCGCGTGGCTGCACCACCGCACCACCCGTGATGCGCACAGCGAGGGGGGCGCTCATACCACGGCACCACACGGGGCGCCTCCGGGCGATGCAGCGTGCCAGAGCAGCAGCAGCAGCAGCAGCCCGTTCCGCCACGTCTTTGCCATCCTGCCCGGATCCAGACCGCCTGAAGTGAGCCTCACTCCCCCTGCCCCGCCCCCTCCCCCAAGTCACCTGCCCCTCCTACTGCCCCCACCACGCCTGCCCATCCTGCTTCTCTCTCCTCGCCTGCACCGCTAAGCACCGTCCATCTGGCCAGGTGGCGGGGAAGCTGTGTGTCGATGCCATTTTCTGTCAACCATGGACGCTCTTCTACCTTCATGAATGTCCCTCTGCCACGTCTTCCATGAGCATATGTGTGCCTTGTCACATATCCTTTCCGTATGCTTCTCAAATCTTTCGTTGTTCGTTGGGTACTGGTTGACAGCAGCCGCACCCCTCCTCCCATGCGTGCAGGTGTATTCCAACTGGGAGCTTCTCACCTCCTCCATCCCCCACCTCATCTCCTCCCTGTTTTCCTGCTCCGGGACCACCAGCACTGGCACCAGCACTGGCACTAGCACTGGCACCGTTAACAGCAGCAACAGCACTAATGACTACAACCATGCCACCACTAGCACTACCAGCACTGGCATTGGCAGCAACAGCAAAAGCAGCAGCAGCAGCAACGCCAGCAGCAGCAGTCCCCTGCCAGTCCTATTCGTCTGCCCTATCGTGCCCTCCCTCCAACCCTCCCCCTTCGCCTCCACCCTGCTTGCTCAAGGCTGGCTGCCGCTCAGCCCCTCCCGACCCACGTCAGAAGGGGCGGGAGGAGGGGCAGAGGCGGGGTGGGTAGAGCTGGACGGGGAGGGGTTGCTGCAGGGGCGTGTGCTAATCCTACCTGAGCGAGAGGAAGAGGAGGAGGCACATGGTAATAGCGGAGCGTGGCGAGGAGAGAATCGGGCTGTTGTTGCTCTTGGAGGGGCGCAAGAGGAGGGGAAGGGAGGGGGCAGTATTGCTGCAGGGGGGAGCAGCGGTGGGGCAGCGAGCAGTGGTGTGGGGAGCACGGGGGGGGTGCGGGCGGTGGTGGTGGTGGTGAGGGGGGGATTCGCAGAGTGCGCTCATGAGGCCCATGGCGCCCTGGCCATGGCTGGCACGGCCACCGAGCAGATGGTGAGATTGGGAAGATAACGATATGGTAGTGTGCAATGGAGAGTGGTGGAGAGTGGTGGAGGGAGGTGGAGAGAGATGTGGAGAATGCTGATTTCCAGAATGCGTGGTTGCCCTGGCCATGGCAGGCACAGGCGCAGCAGGTAGTGAGATTGGGGAAGACGATGGTTGGGTAGATTGTGGTGGTGAACCAGGATCATTTGCAGGGTCGCGCTCAGAGAGACATGGAGTTATGGCACTGGCAGGCATGGCTATAGCAGCAGATGGTGAGTGCGAAGTGGTGGAGGGTGGTCGATTTGGCAGGTGCATGGCAATGGGCAGGCATGGCCACAGGGGCCAATGATTAGTCTGTTGGGGAGTGTGTACGCAACCAGCAACCCACTTGGATTGTTGTGAGGTGAGTGCTGCTGTGATTTTCAGGTGGGCAGATAGGTGGGTGGCAGGTGGGTGGCAAGTTTGTCCAGGAGGGTTTTAGACTGTGGGTGCAGTGCAGCAACCTCCATCAAACGTGCATTCCTGCCTGCCTGCTGGCCTCCCCCACGCCACCCTTCTCCCCCCGGGCCCAGGTGGGGCTGGGCAAGCCGGTGTTCATCATACCGGGCAAGGGCCCTCAGTTCACGGCAGTCTTTGCCGAGGCACAGACCCGCCTGCTGGGGAAATCTGTGAGCACTCTGAATGCTTTTGCACTCTGCGGGCCTTCATTCTCGTGTATCCGTCGTCCCATGCACTCACCTGTCCTCATGATTGACCATTGCTCTGGATTGACCTACCTTTTTCTCCTTCAGCGCCTCTCGTCATCGTTCGTTTCCATTCATAACACATTGTCTTTTTTCGTCCCAAGTACACCTCACATGCATGCTAGTGCCAGTCAACCCATTATTGTTGTGCCGTCGGCCAATGTCTCTTCAACACAGGTTATTCTGTCAAATTCTCCTGAAGAACTGGGGGCAGCCGCTGCAGCGACAATGGCAGATGCAGCACTTCTCCAGGAGATTGCAGCTAATGGCAAGATACGAATGGGTGGGCCGGGTGGAGCTAGACGGATTGCAACTGCTGTATTGGATGCTTTACTTTGGTGACCAACTGTAGGTTACTTGTTGCAGCAGCAAACACTAGTATAGCAGTCAGTCCTACATCCAGCCCTCAGATTCGTTTTGGGGCCAGGTGCTTTGTCAGCCTTGGTACACGAATGTAGGCTGGAAAAACTGTGCTCTTTCCCCCACAAAAAATAGGGATAGTACATATATGTCTTATCTTTTACACTAGAAAAAATGTTAGGGTTGTCTTGTATTAGGGGATGTTTTGGGTGCCTTATAGGTCTTATAAACAAGAACGCTTTACAATGCTTCGAATCATTCTCACATATCTTGAAATGAGGCTTATAATGAGCTTGGATGTTGTAATGGTTCCTACTTGGCCAATCATTGTTAGTGACACCACATCATGAAGAATGCATGCTGAGGAGGAATTTGTAATACATGAGTCAGCAAGTGGTTGAATTCGTGTTTTACAAGTGCAAAAATGTCAAGAACATAAGAATGTGTTGACTAAGGTTGGTTGGGGTATATGAACCTAACCCTAACTATTGTATCCCATATGACACACATCACTAAGACTATAATGTCTGACGTCCACGAAACAGCTCCAGAGCCCAGGCTGAAGCAGTTGCCCTGAGTAGACCTGTGAGTCTCGGCGTCGTCAGCGTAAGAAGAGTCACAGTGTCCAGTAAGTACAACAGACTGCTGCCCTCCAAGAACCAGCCCCACGCCTGATGTCGTCGCTAGGTACTTCGCCACCCTCACAGCAACTGTCCACTGAACTAGACGGTGTCTCCCTGGCGCAACAAAGCGAGCAAGGATGCTGAGAGGGAAGGCGAGGTTTGGGCGAGTGCAAGTCATCAGGTACATGAGGCAGCCCACAAGCTCCGCGTAAGGACCACTAGGCTCAAATGGCTCGTCTGGGAAGGTCCAGTGAGTCTGTGGTCAACAGCAAGAGGTGTGCGCTGTACTGTGGAGTGCTGAAGCTCGAACCGCTAAAGGACCTGCTGCACCATGTGTGACTGTGAGAGTGTAATGGTGCGAGCGGCTCTGTCCCTGGTAGTCTGCAAGCCAAGGTACCGGTAGTGGCGCAGCTCACCAGGGTCAGTGCACGTGTGTCTCTTCTGCAGTTCGCGCTTCACGTCAGCCAAAGCAACCCTGTCAGCAGTGGCGAAAACCAGGTCGTCGACGTAGACCAGTACAAAGAACGGTGTGGAGCCACGCCGAACAAACAACGACGGGTCGGCAGAAGACGGCTGGAAACCGAGGTCAGACTGGGTAGAACGAAGGGTGTCGTGCCACTCACGAGGAGCCAGACGGAAACCGTAGACCGGTCGCCTCAGCCTCCACTGGGTCCCAGGAGGGAAAGTGTTAGTGAAGGCAGAGGGTTGACGTAGCCAGACCTCCTCGTGTAGGCTACCCTAAAGGAAAGCAGTAGAGAAGTCGAGAGAGTGTCACTTGTAGTCTCTCTGTCTACGTGCAGTAACACCCGAAGAGTGGTCATATTCAGGGTAGGCGCGAAGATCTAAAAGAAGTCAACTCCCTCGCGCTGACTCAATCCTCTAGCCACATAGCACGCCTTGAAGACCGGAGGAGATCCCGGTGGCCGCTTCACCCTTAAGATCCACATGCCATCGACTACGTTCGCCCCAGGGGGGGGAACCTTGTTGACGTAAGTGCCTGTGGATTTGTTGGAGGCCATCTCTGAGTCCATGGCAGCTCTCCACTGAGAGGCCCAAGGCCCTGACACCACCTTAGCGTAAGTGCGAGGAGCCGGTATGTCAAGGGCGTCGGGGTCTCCCTCAGGGGCGAGCAACATGGCACAGAGATGAGGGGAAGCGACTACCAGGAACTCTAGCTCAAACTTCCTGTCCTCTAGGGCGTCATAGCCAGGGGCAGACTCACCCCCGATAGCCAGAGGACTGGTAGGAGGAGCAGCCACAAGACTGGTGGCGTAGTCAAGGCGGCGAGTAGAGGCAAACTCAAAGACTGTGGCAGTAAGAGCGGAAACAGAGGACAGAGAAGCACGTGGGTCGGTAACAAGAGAGGCGAGAACACGAGAGAGAACAGGACGGTACATGCGGTAGTAGTCCATGACAGGAGTAAAGAGGGAAGCAGTGAGAGCCGACTCAGGAGGAGAAGGAAGTACAGAAGGAGATGAACGAGGCGGACTAGAACAAAACAGGGCAGTACGAAGGTCAGAGAAGGGAACAGGGGACGAGGGACGAGCATGAGGAGAGCGACGCGAGGGCCAAGTGTGAGGAAGAGGAGGGGACAACGGAGGCAGAGAAGGAGGGAAAATAGCTGGGGAGGGGTCAGGAGGAGGAAGCAGAGGACCAGAGATGGGAGGAGAGGGGGAGGAGGGAGGAGAGGGAGAGGGGAGACCGAGGGTCCGAAGACCAGAGACAGGAGGAGGAGGTGGCAGCTGCTGCTGCTGCTACTGTGGCTGCTGCTGCGGCTGCGACCGCTGCTCCTCCAGATGCGGCGGCTGCTGTTGCTCCTGCTGCTGCGGCTGCTGCTGCGGCTGCTCCTGCTCTGGCTGCTGCTGCTCCGGCTGCTACTGCCACTACTCCAGCCGCTGTAGCTCTAGCTGCTGCCGCTCCAACTCTCTCTCCTCTCACTCCAACTCCAGCTGCTCCTCACGGGCACGGCGAACACGGGCCTGGAACCTGGTCGGATAGGGGTGGGGGGGAGGAGTAGTGTCCGGAGCGGTGGTAGCCCCAGGACCGCTCTCCAAAGAACCGGTCGCACCACCCCTAGAGCCAGCACCACCAGCAGCAACACGGCCAGACCCAGACTCTCCAGGTCCCGTAGGGGGCGCACCCGCACCCCCAGTTGTAGCACCCCTAGGGACAGCATGACTAACACCAGCTCCCTGAAGACTAGAACCTCCTGCAGACTCGGGCTCAGCTCCAACTCCAGTACCCCCAGCACCAGAACCTCGTGGAGGCACACTCTCTGCTCCAACTCCAACCCCTCCAGAGGTAGCACCCCCAGGGTCCTCGACACAAGCACCTGCTCCCGCAGGGTCTGCAGTTGGCTGTGAGGAGGACTGTGGGGAAGGGGACGGCACTTGAGGGGCTGCTGAGGGTAGAAGGGGTAGCGTGTGACACACCTGACGGGGCTGGACCAGGGGGGGGGGGGGGGCTGTACCGGAGGGATAGGAGGGGGGGCGGGAGTCAGGAAAGGAGGGGGAGGAGGAAACGAAAGACCTCGACAGGGGTACCGGGTGTAGTAGGGAACTGACTCGACAAAACAAACGTCGTGGGAGTCAAAGTACCGGTGAAGGGGAGGGTGTTAAAAGGTGAAATCAGAGGAGTCCACGGGAAAACCAAGGAAGACACAGGGAAGGGCACGAGGGGAGAGCTTATCCGTGGAGGTGTCGCGAACAAGCGCCAAGCAGCCCCAGACACGAAAACGTTACCCAGCACCAGGGGACCCGGTCCAAAGACTGGTCGGTGAAGCCTCTGGTCGAGAGACACGTGGCCAGAGGTTCAGCTGGTGAGCGGCGTACCGAACCGCGTAGGGCCATAGAAAATGGGGCGCACGGGCGTGGATCATGGAGGTGCGTGCAATCTCCATGACCAAGCCTATGCGGCGCTCAGCAACCCCATTCTGCTGTGGGGACTCTAGAAGCGTCCAGGACTGACGGATGCCCTGCTCGCGACAGAATCCAGCGAGAATGCCCGAGCGAAACTCACCCCCACGGTTGGAGTGAAGACAGTTGACACGGCGACCATGAGTGTCCGCAATGGTAAGTAACCACCAGATCAGCGTAGAAGTCACCTCAGGCTTCTTCGCTAGGGGGAACACTGTGGTGTAGCGAGTCGTCAACGACCACCAGAAAGAAAACTCTCTTGCTCAAGGCCAGGGCGAGGGGCGAGGCCCTGTCAAAGATAGTAGCTAGAATGTTAACAGAAAGAAGAGGAGTTGAACTAGCAGGCAGAGGGGATACAAATACGAAACCCTAATAGGGTTGTACTC